CCCCCCCCCCCCTTGAGCCTTAAATCAATCAATCAATAAATAAAGATGGTTAGTTTTATATCTACACACCAGCATAAAATAAAATGTGCAGGAAATCTCTTTAGATTTAGTCTGTGTTCACTCTGTCACATCTGCCAACACAAACTATGGAAGCTGTGATTCCCCAGCCTGAAGTGTTTTTTATTTATTTATTTTTTTGTAATGTAATAAAACATTGTCAGACCCTACATACTGTAATAATTAAAAAGAAAGTTGAGATAAACCACAACTAAAACTAATACAAAGTTAAACGAAACAAGCATTTAACTGAGGTCACTGTTGCCTGAAAAATTATCTTTTGATTAGTTCCAAAACTTAACAAAATAAAAATAAATGCAGATCTACTGTATGACATGACTCCTTGGCACTTCTGCTCATAGCAACAGGTGGCTGCACTGACCTGCAGTAACTGCGACTGTGATCCTGCAGTGTAAACACTCGAACAGCTGATGATTCACACAGGTGAAAATGATGGTATCAGGTTAAAGTTGCTTTACTCTGAGCTGCAGGACCGACCCTCCTTATTGTGCATGCCGGCTCTCTGGGATGCTTCATGATCATTAATGTTATTGATTACACCTGTACCTGTCCTGCTGTGCAGAGTGAGACCGGCCCAAGCGAGTCCAGTGCCAACCGCTTGTATTTATGTCACATACCACATTACCCATGCTCCCCATGAGCACTAACCCTGTATCTATGTGCTTTTTGTACATTTGTGTTTATTTTGTGTTACTACACACAGAGCTGTAGAGTCAGTCTGTGAATGCTGGTTATGAAATGAAGTGGCGCCACCATGTGGGCTGTTAGAATAAGCATCTGCAAACAGCCTGCTACGTGGGCTCCATCTCCACTGCGTTGAGAAAAAGAATGGATGGATTTACCTTTCTTCCCTAAAGTAATTGGGACTTCAGTGTACTTGAAGAAGTAAATGTCTGTCCGAGTTTGTCACACATTCCCAAATAAATCAAAGGCACACCTAACTTTCCATCATACCTGTGTACACCACTATCATACACCTCATCTCCACCGCCTTATTACACACCTTCAAACAGAAGTGCCTCTGTTTCAGATCCAGCACTCTATTGAGGGTTAGGGTTTCTCTCAGACAGGCTGTTTGGTTTGAAAGTGCCTCTTGAGCCTGCTTGGCAACATTTTACCATAAGACAACTTCAAGTGACTGATGATGGACGGAGGCCGTTCACATTCCCAAAGCCAAAAGACAGGTAGGCCTGGTGATATCCTGTTTAGACAGTGGGTTGCCTGCATTGGCAATTAATTGTGTATTTCCCTCTTATAAGCGCTGATGCATCAACCTCTCAATTTTTGCAATGGTGCAGATTTGTAGTTTGTACAAAGTACAAACACAGTGAGTCAACATGACAGCATTTAGGAATAACTAGTGTACACCATGGCATATAAAATAATATTTATAGCTCACTGATTTTCTTTTTTGACTGTTTTGTTTCGTGACTAATAGGAAAGATATAGTTTCAAATATTTTGCCACCTTTTTTTGTTTGTCTTTGGATGCATTTGTGAAAAAATAATGTCCAACAACAGCCCACTCGGACACTGAAGCTGTGAAATCCCTCTATCCTCCCATTATCACCTAGTTGTGGACACCACACTTGGGAGTGAGGACTGATATCTTCACATTATATAACGAGTCAAAGCTCTGATGCTGTGCAACTTTAACATCCCTGAAATGCAGCTCACTGAAGAAGCTGGAGTGCTAGCAGGAAGTGGTGTACATGCTGTGGACACTATGAACAGTGACCAGCTTGCTGCAAACGCAAATGAAAATAAGCAAGTGTTTGCATACAGGTGAAAGGTACTTGATTTTGTGAAGAGTTGTAAATGCACAAGTGTTTTTGAATGCGAGTGAGTGAACTTATGTCGGCATTTAAAAAAAAAAAGGCATGCCATAAGATCAACATAAACATTTATTCACAGCTGTCCAGTTGTAAAGAACATTAAATAAATATTATTTTTAATTTTAAAGGATCACAAACAAAACATGCACAGAACTGCGACGGCACTTTGTCAAGTAACTCTAGGCATAGGCCACCGAATAGGTAACAATACTGAAGACCAGCAGAACATCACGACTAAAAGCGATTAGCACTCGCATCCTGCCTCCTCACTAGTGTGTTTCTCTTACAATCATGCTGCTCTTGCTCCGTAGCTCAGCCAGCAAGTTTCTGAATCTACCCGTCTGCTTTGGTGTTCTCTTGCTTGGTGTGGTGGCTTCCTGTGTCACAGACGAGGGAATCGCCTCAGCAGTCACACCTCTGTTCCCCTGACTGCTGCTTTTTCGGCGGCTGTTTGGCTCTACACAGGTCATCTTGATGGGAGCGTTGGTGTGGAGACGCTGCTGCTTAGCGACACGAGTACCCTGCGAACCGTCTCTCTGTCTCTTCCTCCTGTTCTTATTCTTCTTACTCTCCTTTTTCGCTTTCACACATCGTCTGAGGTTCCTAAGCCCAAAAACACAGCACATACAAGTCATTTTAGATGAGAACAGCTACAGTCATAAGAAATTCATGCAGGCAAACACGTTACCTGTGGAGGAAAGTGTGCGGCCTTGAACAGGCGGCAGATTCTTCCACACGCTGCTCACTTTGTTTCTCACAGGCCTTCTTTATCTTCTTCATGTGGCTCAAAAGCTCCCTGACAGAGCAGACAGGCAGCAGTACAATCAGCTTAAATATGATGGTAATTTGTCAAACACACTCATACATACAGTGTACACTCAGCCTTACCCTCTTGCATTAGGCCACCTTTGGGATGTCCGCTTTTTGATAAGGACCCACTGGTCACATGTCGGGGACATAGGATCTAAACAAGAATCAAAATCAAAGTGTTACAGAACTGTGCTTACCTGTTTGTTATTAATATAGATGGCAAAAGAGGACGGCTATTAATTTGGTACTGTAAGTTAAACCATATGTAAGCATTTCATCCACTTCATGCAACAAACAATACATAATTGTATACTGGTTACTGAAATGTGTAGTTATACTTTTAGATTTCTTTTTATGCAGGGCTAATACAAGCAGTGCAAGTGTGCTATAGAAAATATTTCTCAAGTATTATTAACAATTGTTCATCTTTCCTTTGGAAGAGTAGCTATAGCATGAACTTCTTCCCAAAGACATTATATTTTCATGCTGCCATTAGTGTGCTCACCATTGTCCAGCAGTTTGTTTATGATTGGTGTTTTTATCTTCTTTGCTTTCTGGTAGAGCTTCTGACAGGCCAAGCACAGGTTCTGGGAAGGCCTCGCTTTTCTGTAGGTGGAGTGATAAAAAGAGGGACCAGACGCTGTGCTGCTGCAAACAGAGACTCGGTCTTCATCCGAGTCGTCCAGTTCTTTATCAGCTATCTCTACCACCTTTCCCCCATCTTCTTCACCAACTTGCTTCTCTTCCTGATTGGCAATGATGTCGAGGAGGTCGCACCCTGTTCCCTCACCTGCGATACAGAGGCTGTCACCAGTACTGCCTTTCCCCCTCCGCCTTTGACCTCTCAGCTGACGCTGGATAACTTCTTCCTCTGGAGCGGGGCTTGTCTTGGTGTTCTTCTTGGAGGCACCAGGCTGTCTGTCGGAGCGTTGGGGACACATGGATCCTTTCCACTTCACACAATATCTTATGGACCTGCTAACAAGAGCAACAGTGACTCCTCCTGCAATATTTTACAAATAAACTGAGTCTAGATGAAAATATTTCTTATCGTCTTACCTGCAATATTCTACCTTGAAAAACAGTAAATGAGTGAATAGGCCTAACTCATCTGCATCGAACCTGCAAAATCAAAAACAGCACATCACTTTGACAGGATTGACAACAACATGGCATGTGTGTTTGCGCCTGCATTTGTCCAATGCCACGACCTTTGAACTCTGAATGAAAGGACATGTTTTAAGTTCATACACTAATCTCCTTAGAACTGCACTTTGTCTTTACATTTATGTTGAAATAATTTCACCTTTCATACAGGTTTACTGTGTCAGGCAAATATATATAGGCACACATTTAATGTAAAATGAAAATAAAACCACCAGTTATGACTCAGGTTCACTGTGCTCTGCCTGTGGCTGTAAACCAATGTCTGAAAACACCCAGCTACAAAATCTGCATTCAAAACTTAACTGCTTAGCTAACGTTAGCATCCCGGCTAAGCTAACCGGGCTCAAAGCTAAAGCTCACACAGAGGGCGGATGGACATCACTGAAAGCACCGGGCATTGAAGCCAGGACATGACTTACTTCATCTCTGCTCCTTCGCGGTTAACGCACTCTAACGTGTAAAACTTTTATTAAGTTAATTTTGACTGAAGCTGAAACACGGCGCCGTGCTTACTTGTTCACATTCTGGCTCGTGCCTTGGTGAGCTCGCGGACGTGAGCCTGTTTGTAGATGCGCTCGAGGACAAATCACTTCAAGATGCGCGAAGATAGAACAAAATTCCCTGTCCCATGATCCTCAAAGCTCCTAGTAGCTCTCTCTGGTTTCCTTCTCCTTCTGTTTGTTCGTTTGGGGGGTGGGGGAATGTCGCGTTACTGCCGCCAACTGGACAAGTTTCAGAAATGTAAACCATTGTCAAATCCTTATACAATATTCCTGTCAAAAACTGTGTTAGATACCTTGGTATTCATGTCTGTAAGAATGACACACAGCGTCAACAACTTAACTTTTCTCCCAGGATGGAAAAAACTAAAACTATACTGAACTTATGGCTCCAAAGAGACCGATCAATTTTTGGTAGAATCCTTTTGACTTAAATTGAAGGTGTTTCCAGATTTGTGTATCCAGCCATGTTGGAGGTTTACAGTTCATACTGTCCTGTAATTACAGTATATCAAAGTTACCGGTTAAAATGTCTGCATTTTATCAACAGGCATTGTTGGCTTGGAAATTATGTTATTCACATAACTTTTCTCCACATAGATCTATTATCTGGAATAACGAATGTATTACTAAGAGGAACAAATCACTATATTTGCAGAATTGGATTGATAAAAATATAATCTATTTAAAAGACTTATTTGACTCTGAAGGCCAGCTACTTAATTACAATGACTTTATTACAGAAAAAACATTCCCTATCAAATTTAAAGATTTTAGCTCTGTAATAAAATCCGTTCCCAGCGGACTGACTGAGTTGATGAAAAGCTACAAAAAACAGAACACACCACATGCATCCGTTAACACTCTTTATATAAATGGTATTGATTTCTTAAGCAAGAAATGCACCAATAAACATATTTGAATGTTTATTGAATAATGCGAAGAAAATAACTCCAAGAGGGAAGTTTTTTTGGAATGCTATTTTTGATAATATCAACTGGGATAAAGCATGGCTTGTTCCTTTTAGATTTTGTATTACAAACAAAGTTTGAATTACATTTGAAAAGATTACATAACATATATCCATCCAATACATACATTTCAAGATTCTGTGACATTGATAGAAAATGTACCTTTTGTAAAACTGAACTTGAAAGTGTTACTCATTTGTTTTATGGCTGTTCATATAGTGCTACATTTTG